AGATCAACACTTTGTATACATTCTTACGAACGAGAATCATTACAAAGTTTTCCTAAACGATGACACCTTTTCAAAATACTTTCAAAAACCACACAAAGCGCATTTTCAAACAAAAGTAAGTGATCTAGCAAGCAACTAAGAGCCCGTAGATAACTACGGATGAAAAGGGTGCTAATACCTTCCCTTTTCATAATCTACCCCCCGAACTCAAGAAAACATCTCAAAGGTCTTTCCTGTTCTTTTCAACCTTTTCTTTTGGATAAAAGAAAAGTCGGTGGTAACTCTTGCTAACCGTAACATTTGCGATCAAACGCAAAACGACCAAGTCAGCTCTCCCACTGCATTACAGATGGCCTGTCTTTATCCAAGACCAGGGGGTGTACTCTAAACCCAGAAGAGTGGGGAGCTTTCTAAACCAGAAAGACTCATAAACCTATTCGCGAAGCATGTTGGCCAATGGCCCATGCGATTCGAAAATAGAAAATTGTTAAGTTCTTATTTAACGGTTGTTACTAGAAAGGGGGGTGCGGAATTTCAATTAAAAGCCCATTTAAGAATCAACCCAATTGTTCTTTTGCTGTCTTTTGATATTTTAGTAAATTTGATAAGAAAAAACCTTTTAAAATAAAAAACACTTGGTTATTAAACATTTTTTAAGAGTTTTTTTTCCAGGTTGATTTGTTAAACACAATTTATAAGGCCCATTATGTTAGATAGATGTTGTGTTGGTGTTTAAAAAAGAAAAGTAATATTATGATAAAATTGTTTTTAAAAAAAAATAAATATATACTTAATAGAAAGTATTACTATTATTGTAAAAAAAAGATTGTTTTGTTGTTAGGAATTTATAAAGTTAAACATCAATTTTTTTGTTTATTCTGTTAAAAGGCTTGGCTACGGAAAGGCCATTTGGGCCTAATGGTACTAAAGGCATTTTTTGGCTGTATTGAAAAAATGTTGTTGGTGGATAAAAAAACAATTTGAAGTAACACAAGGCCCATATTCAGACTAACAGATACTGTACCAATTGAGACCGTAAATTATGCGCGTATTGGCCTTAAACGAACATTGTAGAAATCATTGGAAATCAAATCTTTATTGCATTTTGAAACAAAATATACAGCAAATCCATAAATTGCATACAACCAAATATGTACTGAATCTTTATTGCATAATACAAATCCAATATATTACAACTAAAACAAATCTGGAACGGAAATAATTAATACATCCAAATCTCAAGATTAATTTACAAACCACAAAATCAGTGATTACAGAACCCTAATCCCAAATTGCAAGTATTACAAACAGAATAAAATTGTGCAGAAAAATGAAATCTCATTACAAATTATAACGAATCAATTACATCAAAATGATAATCCCTAATTGAAGCTAAAGTAATAATTGCAACAGCAAAATTTAAAACCCTAAAGTACTAACCTATATAAACTAAGAGAAGAAAAGTACAAGGGGGGATTCAGAGACGAAGAAGAGAAATTTTTTTGATACAGAGAGCTTGAAAAAAACCCTTGCCGTTGAAGACCAAAGGAAGTGACGATCGGAGTTTCAAGATCGGAAACCCTAATCTCCCTTGAACCACCATTGTTCGCCTCGCTCTGTCGCCGCTTCTGCCGTCTACCACCATCTTCAACCTCAAACTCACCGGAACCTGCAAGAAAAACAGAGAAGAATAAAGGATTAGTGAACCGGACTCTCGATGAACTCCGAATCTGAAGACGCAAAAAGGGGTAAGATTGACTTAGCATTTTTTCGTTGTTCTTGTTCTTGTATTGGGGGGGGGGGGGGGTTATAGAAGGGTTGTGGTGGAGGTATGTTGCGCCGCCGGAGGGTTAGAACAACCTAGGGTTTGGCAATTTGGGGAAGAGGATAAAGAAGGGTCTGAGGATAACGAGGGAGAGAGAGGATAAGTTTGTTCTGTAGAATATAACAACAAATGAAAATGAATAAAAAACAAAATCTATTATCCGTTTGTATCATATGCAGCACGCCCACAGTAACGACCATGTTCCCTTAAACATCATCCGCAAGAAGCGCATCAGGCGGCCGTAAGGCCAAGCCGCATGGTAACACTGTATGCCCTCACTATATACGATCATCCGGACCTCTTCAAAATCCATAATGGGCCAAGCCCGCTACTCATCACGCCCTCTTGCCCCTGTGTACTAAATGCAACAACAACATACACCCCCTGTCCAGCCAGTATCAATGGGCCTAGCCTGAATTATTTTAGCACCCCCATTATTTACTTCACAACTGAAAACACCCCCCCCCCCCCCCCCCCCCTTTGAAATTACTTATTTTTATATTTTTTTATATAATTCTATTTTCTTATTTATTTACTTACGTTATAAATATTTATTATTATTGGTAGTATTAAATTTCAATAATATTTTATATATCATTTTTACTCATTAATTTTTTATATTATTATTATTATCATATGTTTGCTATTTATTATATTAGCATATAAATTATTTTCTCAAAAACTCATGTACATATATTATTTTCTCATATATTGCATTAAATATTTTTTTAATCATGCATTAATCAAGATTTTTACAACTAATACAATTAAAAAACACAAACAAATCTCAAACTATTTTTCGCAATAAAACTAAGCTAATCAACAGTCTTTTTGCAAATGGGTTTCAACTAGTTTTGGCTTACATTGCACTCAATCAAAATCTCCGCAATCACTAGTCCCGATCGAGTGCGAAGTGATTCAAAATATGTTTGCAAGCCCCTAATAAACACCAACCCATATGAACTACGAATTGGGGCTCTGATTCCTCATAAGAGGATACGTAGGCACGCGATCTAAAATCGTGGCGAGTCTTGCTAATTAATACTTAAAACCCTGTTTACCCCAAACCTAAACCTAGAGCTTAATATCCTTGTGAACAAGGTAGATGAAATGTTCCTAACACCTTTCTTTCGTCTAATTGAGTCCGAAACCTAGAATCTCTGTTTGCGAATTAGGGTTTTTTGTTAGGTTCCCTTCCCTAGGATAAAAACTAATAATGGTGGCCCTGATTAAAAAAACTAGTTGTAACAGCTGCATCATTAGGAGCACAAATTTTTTGCTTGGAGTACAAAGTGTAAGTGTGATCGACCGTTAACATTGAATCGAATATCGACATATATGTTGTCGGCACAACAATGTGTATATCAGTTCCTTGTCACAGAAAGAAAACTATATTTCCTATCATAAACCAAGTTGTGAACACCAAAATCATTGTTCCAACCAGAAAGCTAGAACATTGGAATACTATTCAACTGGTATTTTAAGCGGTTCGATATAAACATACATCATATACAATCAAACAACAACAAAAAATGCACATGAAATCCAGTCAAAGAACTCTATATGTACCCGGTCGAATGGTGTACGACAAAAAATCCTTGAACTAATTTAATCCAACCATTCTGACATTCAATTATGGACAGACTCACTGATGAACACAAAGGGGCTACAAAGTATAAAGTTTTCACAAGCTATATATTAGAAAACTCGTATTCTTCCCAAATCCATACAAATTAACATTACTTCAGCAACTTTGTCAAATGTAACAAATCACGACTAAAATAAATAAATAGGTTAATTTTTTTAATTTACAAAAAGAATAAAAAAACCTCTCAAATTCATACGTATATAGCATATCTGCTCCACATGTTGATACTGACCAACAATGAGTTAACAATATTCTTCTTATAAAGAATGAGACATGAGAGAACTCGAAATTTTATGGTGCATTTTGGTTTCATGAGCTAGACTTCTTAGATGTTGTTACCTATGAAGCTAAATGTTTTAGACAAAGAAGATGTTATAATAGTCTATTCTTAGATGTATCCCTATGTCGAAAACAGAGAATCATAGAAAGTTTTGGTCACTTTAGAAGTAGGCATTATAAATAATTACGAAATGAAACTTGAAAATGATCACATTAGAAGTAATAGTTTTGGTACACATTGAAAGAAGAACTGCTTCCTAATTGACTTCACGCGTTCTTCTTATTCTAACCAACTTGAAAAAATAACAACAATTAAGACACAATGGTTTTGCAAATGGATCAACAAAACAACGCATTGGTTTTGATAGGGAAAGTTTAATAATATCATCAACCTCCTTAGTCATGGTTGCTGAAAAAAGCATGGTCTGCCTTTTTTGGGACACACACGAACCTGTTAAAGAATCAAATGTTCTTGATATTGTGTAAATGGATTACCTTATAACACATATACATTAGTTTCAAATTACATAGAAATGATCAAATAAATGTTAGCTTCAGAAGAACGCAAAATATTTATCACCTAATCTAGAGAAGTTCTATATGCTTAAATCACATCACTTGCTGATGCCGTAAAATTGACAATGTGTGACTCCTTCGTGGCATCTGTTGCATTTACTGTATAGGCCTGACCAGCTCAAAATCGTTAGATGATAAACACCCTCCTCCTAAAAGGACACAATAAAAATAACAAAAGATAAAAAATTCAACCTTTTTTATATTTTCCAAGTAAATTGTGCTAATTTTGTTGGGCTTTAAAATTGCAAACTACTCCTTCAAATAAATCAGCTCAACCACTATTAATGTATTAGAAAGAGCCTGTCCTAATTTCCATATAAATAACATTTCTAATAAGTTATTAAGAAGCACAAAAAGTGTTATAAACTAAAAGTAAAAAGGTTGAACTAAATAACACATCTATGCTATAACAACCAAACTTAAGTAGTTGTGCGAAGCGTGGGCCAGTGTGCGGAGAAACCTGCAATAAAACATTATTATATCAATAACAAAAATTATACTATCATCCTCAAGGATGAAAAATATATAAACTTACAGCCCATCAGTTGAGGTTCTTAATCTCAAGACACAATTCACATCCTCTTCCTTGCGTGCATATTGCTCACTATATCTCCCAGTGTCTAATATTCTAGCTACATAATTCAAAGGACCAGACAAGAATGCAAAGTGATATCACTTTTCACATAATTCGACATCAGACATAATTTTTTCATCACTAACACCTAGGTCTGTGATATTTTCTCGGAAAGTTGGTCGCCACATATAAATTATAGGAGCAATTGCCTGAGAAACTGGTGCTCCAACATGATGAAGCTGTCAATAAAGAAAACATAATTTTGTTTGATAAAATAACATGGTTCTTTCAACTACAAGAAACAGAAAAAAGGAACACTCGCCATTGCAGTTCCATAGCTTATATCAGAAAGAATAGAATCACACTGATTTCTAGAAAGTGTTGCTTCTATGGGAGAGGGCACAAGTACCATTCTTAATACTGAAACTAACGAATCCTATAAACAGAACAAACTTAAATAAAGCTATGAGAACTGAACCATTATTTTTAAAGGCTGAGCCTACAAAAATTAGTCCCATAGTTATACAACAAAGCATCCTTTGCTGCTGCCAAAGCATAAAAAAACAAAATTTGTTCTCATCAGCTAATCAAAAGATAACATACCCCAATGTCATTTGAGTCGATAAAAATAGAAACCATTTGAAATCCAACTAGAACCACATTCGCCGCCGAAAACATGTTGTAAACCTCAATTGAAACTCTGGGCCTCAGACCATCACTCTCACCTAACTGTTTCTCGTTCTTGGAATTCCTATAACAAATGTTAAGATCGTAAGATGACTTCTCGAAATCAAACTGATAGGAGATCAAAGAGATATCCGATTCAAAAGCGAGGGAATGAGAAGAGCGCAAATCGGTGATGCCAAGGTCGAGATTCTTCATTTTTTTGTGCGCATGCTGTTTTACCCCAAAATTTTCCCTCTCATTTATCAAGGCTTTTCTCACAAGATTTCTTTGACTCAAGACTGGATTAGGGTTTGGTCAACTCAAGACATCTCATCAAGCACTGATGACCCAAAATTAGGGTTTGAGTTTGCACAAGGATTATTAGACTATCAATGCTTCATATGACTTTCAAACATCATTATAGACCCCTAAGATTTGTCATGACAAGTTTCAAGCCTTGAACCACATTTTGGATCAGTCAATTGGACAGTTGACCTAAAAATCAGCTGTATTGGGGAAAAAGTCAACCATGGCCGATTTACAGTCAAACTTCATATTTTTTGATCCACATCAACATTTTAGACTCATATGTATCATTTGATCAAGTTTGGATTACAATTCCTTAAGAAATTTGATCAAATCATCAAAAGGGCAAAATGGTCAAAATTAGGGTTTTGACTGAGGAAGGGCAATTTCTGGTTTTTAACCTAGAAAATGACCAATTGAGTTAAAGCATGATTTCAAGGATTTTGCATCATCTTGACCTAATAGCATGGTTCAAAACATTGCAATTTCATTGGATTGACAAATGAAATTTGCAGTCAACTGATCAAAAGTCAACTGTATACTGAAAAGTCAAACTTTGACTTTTTTAGTCAAAATCAAGTGCCAAGGGTCACAATTCATCAAAACATGTCAAAGTGTGAAACTTGTTCATCAAGAAATCTAAGATTGAAGATTAGGGTTTAAATTTTAAAATTTTCTTAACTTAAAAAATTTTCTAAGTATAGAAAATTTCTTATTTTTTCTCAACTTTAGGCCATTTTTTCACCATGATGCATAATGATTCAAAGAAAGTTCCCAACATGAAAGTTGTAGACCTCCATGAAATATACAACTTTACTTCACACACGTTTCCCTAAAGATTCTTGTATCTCAAAATATAAATTTATGAATACATGCTCATGAACTAAATAACTTAGTGAAATTTTGCCCTAATTTAGGCAGGTTTTGGACCCAACTTCATGGAATTTTTTCACCTAGTTCCAAGAGGTATCTTGAAATTCATTTCAAATATGAGTTATATATAACATTTCAAGCTTTCCAAAATGTCCAAGAACTCCTCAAGATCATTTTTGAGTAGGGAGAATCGAAGAGATAAAGTTGGCAATTTCTCACTTTTGGTTCAAGCCATTTCATGAAGAACAAAGTTCCAATCAGTACCTATGTTGCCTAATCCATGCTTTACAGGTCCAAAACTTGTTTATTACTCCTTAGTTTAAGTCTTACTCAGTTGACAAAGCTTTGATCCAAGCCTTTAAGCCATTACCCAAGTTGCAATTCCATAAATGGCATAAAGTGACCATTGCCATTTTGGAAAAGCTCAACTTTTGCCACTTTCCAATTCTTGAGCATTGAACTTGTCTCCTTTGCACATATAAGTCTTACAGGCCTAAAGAAAATTGTACAAGTATATACCAACCCCAAGCAAGCCAGTACAAGCATGTTAAGCCTTGTCCCTTCACTTTGCTTCAAAAGCAAGAAAGTGTGCCAAAAGCCTATAACTTGCAAATCTGTTGGAGAGTTGACATGAAACTGATTCCATACTAATATACAAACACAATACAACACAAGACACAATTACTAGAAGCCTGAAATATTCCCAAACTCAAAAACACCAGAAAACTGTCAAGACTTGTAGTTTTTTGCATAAGCATACCAATCTCTCATTTGCTCGTGCGTTTCAAGTCTTGATCATCAAAACACCTTACCTACTTGATATCTAACTGATCCAGACCCTCATCCATGTACTGTAACCCCTTCTTCATCATCTTCCATTTTTGCTTTCCAAGCTTGCAGGTTGACTTGGCCAGAGAGTTTCAGACATTTTCAAAGCAAGGCAAGGGTTTGAGTACACTCAGGGAGGTTCAAGCAAGCTCAAGCAATCTACAGGCCTCCATAAAAATCACTCCAACTCCATCCACGATTTCAACTGAAAGAGGTAAAAATATCAACTTCTATCTCTTTATACAGGCAACCATTGGCCACGATTTGTGAATAAACAATGTAGTCCTCATTACAACGAAGCTGTACATACATTTATCTTAAATTTATTTGGCCTGAGTTGAGAGAATTTTGAACTTGAAGATTCTAAAAAATTTAGGTTTAAATTTAGGGCTTTTAAAATTCATCCTGATCTTTGATTGTTAGCTTACATGATTTATATGGTTAGAATCGTGAGACAAAATGCTACAGCTTTCATGTTATGAGTTTTCATTTTCATAGAGAGATAAGCAAGTTACAAGACGTCTTTCCAGCTTGGGGAAGAAGATGAAGTACAGGGCAAGGACCTTGTTCATGATATGTTATTTTTGTTTCACTTAAATCAACAGATGTATAGCCACCCCAGTGGCAAGGTAGTGCGCTGGTGAGACCCATGTCCTGGGTTCGAACCTTGGTGCTACCTTTTGGTTTTTTTCCACATTTTTCCACTTTCAATTTTGTCTTTTTGCAGGTATGGGCCTCCACGTTAGGCTTAGCTATTTTTTCTAACTTTCACCACTGGATTATTCAGAACACCCCCCTTGCCCAACTATTTTTGTATTTTTATTTTATTTGTTTTATTTTCGTTTTAGTTTATTAAATATTTTCTTTAATGCATAAGAAATCCTAAAAAATATAAATTTGATAATATTGCATTTTTTTAAGTTTATTTTTCACATGAAAATATATTTTATCTTCAATATATATTATTTATTTTCTTAATAAACTTGTAAAATATAATTAAAATATGTTTAGTATAATTTATTTATTCCCTTTTCATCCCATACTTATAAATATTTATTTTTGCATACATAAAAACTTTTGTTATACAATATTATTTATTATTTTAACATAAGAAAATACATAAAAAAATAGTATATAAGAACTTTATTTTCTTTTAAAAATAGAAATTAGGGTTAACCTTTCTTTCAATAATTAATTTCTTTTCCTTATTTTTTTTAGGTTTAAATTTCTTCTCACATGAAAACAAAACAATATATTTTTCTTGTATGTACATAATATTACATATTTAAATATTGTATATTATTTATTCTAATATTCCTACAAATTCGATTTGATTGTAATAATTTATTTAGGTTTACATTCTTGCAAACCCCCCATTTAAATTTATACTCCCCCCTCCCATAAAATTGTTGTAATAGCTTAGTAATCTTTACATTACGCAATTTACCGCTTTACATGCCATGATTAGTAATTAGGGTTTGTATGATAAGATCAAAACAAAGCAAATAGAAAACTCTAAATGAAAGATAAAAACAAAGCATGAAAATAACACATTTGCACACAAACATCCTTAGGGTTTCTCCACTTGGTTGTCTTATACAAAAATGGCCATATTACGCATGCGAAGTATCTTGGCATAACAAACAAGTATAAGATCATAGTCCCTCGATGACGCTATTCTAAGTTGCCTTACAAAATGATCTTGGTCCCTCAAAATGCTAAGATGCTTTGCAACATTGCTAATCATGGTTATACAATGACGCACGCCCGTCCCGTTTACATCCAAAGATAGGGTTGCTTACCAAATCAATGGTAAGACCACAATGTCAAAGGAATAGAAAATGCATAACAAAGACATTTGAGTAGGTAGATTGCTTCTAGTTACTTGATCTATTTTCAAACAACTATCCTTGCTATTTTCAAAACAAACACACACATTTCAAAAACATCTTACAAATATTGAAAACATTTTCAATAGACAAACATCTTTGTATACATTCTTACGAACGAGAATCATTACAAAGATTGCCTAAACGAATGACCTCTTTTACAAAATACTTTCAAAACCACACCAAACACATTTAAAAAAAACAAAAGCAAGTGATCTAGCAAGTAACTAAGAGCCAATGGAAAACCATGGATGAAAAGGGTGCTAATACCTTCCCTTTTCATAATCTACCCCCCGAACTCAAGAAAACATCTCAAAGGTCTTTCCTGTGCTTTTTCACCTTTCCTTTTAGATAAAAGAAAAGTCAGTGGAGAATCTTGCTAACCGCAACATTTGCAAATACAAAACGCAAAACCTTCAAGTCAGTTCTCCCACCGTATCACAGAACTGGCGACTCTGCTAGGGATAATTATAAAAGTGGGGTTACCTTAGGGCTAGATCACATTTATTTGCTTACATTGTTTGACTTGTATGCTTTACATTATGGTTCCTTGTTTGGGTTTGAAATCCTCTACCCGGATTTGGGATACATTATAGGTAAATAGAAATACATTGTGGAAACTGTGCGGGGTATATCGACATGGTCTAAGCAATAACTATGTTTGTGTGACATATTTGTGGGTACCAATAGCCTTTGAGTCAATCAAAGAGAATACGGGGCCGCTGAGTGATGTCATGAAGAACTAATGAACTTCTAGAACCCTTTACTTGACCAACTTGGCCTTTAGGATGTAGTGAGATGACCGGCTTTGGTGCAGTCCGAAGTTGGTAGATACTCGATACTACACTCATTGAGGTTTGGTTTCTTGGGATATTTCGGTCGCCATTAAAGAGGCTTGAGCTGAAACAATGACCAAGGAAACAATCTAGTGATATTGAGCTCCTTAGAACCCGGTTACTATTACTAAGACAGGTTTAAGCCAACTAAACTTCAAGAGGGTACTTACCTATAAAACCCCATGCAAGCCTAAACTAAGAACTTGTTTGCTTTGCTTGTATATGCATACTTGTACATAACATCATGGACATTATGAACATCACATGCATCCACTAACCATTTCAAGGATTTTGGGAGATTCATCTTTGTTCTTGTTTTGTAGGATATGGATTCACTCCGTAGGAAAACTATCCAAATCAATCTTGTAAGAATTCCTCCACAACTCAAGGAGCTAGCTTCAATGGTCCCTGAGAACTCTCCATTCACCGAGAGGCATGGCCGTCTACTCAACTTGGTCACCTCCAACACAGAGGAGGACATGAT